AAGTTTTAATAAAAATGCAAAACAGGGGAACACTGGCGCAAAATAGTGGAATGGATCGTTTCAATCAGCGAAACTGGAAAATACGGACCGGATTTTTTTTTTAAAACTGGATCGGCAGTCTGGATCGGCATTTTACATGCTTTGCCGATACGCATTTTTTTGCCAAAAAACTGGATCGGCAGTCTGGATCGGCATTTTACATGCTTTGCCGATACGCATTTTTTTGCCAATATCGGCGTCCCAATCCGATACGTGGATTGGATCGGGACAAGCCTAGGTGGAGCTACTCATTACTGAGTCCTTTTTTTTTGACACTTTGATTTCTGTTTTGGGGGGTTTTCGGGGTTTTTTGAGCTATGGTCTTAAACTTTTGATCAGACAAGAACTTTTTCCCCGCTCAAAAGTTCTTGTCTCTTGCACTGATTTTTTTTCTTTAACATTGTGAAGCTCTACTTTGAACCTTCTTAAGATCCAATAGTGCAAAATGCAAATTCTTGCAATTTTTTGACTGGTCTTAAGATTTTAATCAGGAGTGTACATACTTAGCGAGGACACAAGTCCGTAGTTGCGTTCTTGCGAATTGAGAAACGGCCACTGATTGAACATTCTGCTGTTGGTGTGTTGAAAATAACAGTCAAACAAAGATATAACGTCCGATCGATGGTTCCGTTTCTGTGTTTTCTTGGTGGCGGGCGAATAACCTTCAAGTTCATTACTGCCACCATCTGTTCAGGAGTGGAACTGCTTCATCAGGGGACATAGATTCCTACTCTTTAATCTATGATTCATACTTATAAATTGTAATACCTTTGTGATCTATAATTATAGTTTTGCAAAGTTATAACTTTTATTATGTAATTTCTAAACTAGTATTCTAACAGATGAAATGTCACATGTATGAATGAGTTGGCAAAAAGGAACAAAAGTTTATTGACCATTTCAGACACCTAGGTATAAGTTCTCATTGACAGTGATCTTACACTATTTTACCAGTCTGTTAGAGTTGTTATAACAATTTCTTCTGACCTGTCTGAATTTCTGTCTCCTCTTACATGGAGCCAGTTAACCAATGGTCTGGATGTTATCAATCTATTTCATGACTTACACTCTCTCTGCTGCCTCCTGGTCTGGATAGGTCCTGGTCTGAGTGCTGCTGGTGCCAGCTGGAGCCAGTGGGTCCAGACATACTACGACCTACTCCAGGGTACGCGCTAATCTGACTGGACAGCCCCACCTGTGTCAGATGGTGCAGCTGAGCCCCTGCAGGGTGCAGAATTAGCCGAGAAAAGATACAGACAAGACAAAGTGAATCATTTCATCCACAGAAAAGCAAGTGAATACCTGCAGAGTTAAAAAATCTGGGCCCGTATTTACAGAGATCTTCATACTTCCTTGCAGGAAGTTTTAGCTTCAGAATTAAGAAGCTACTTGCTGTCTTTGCTTCCTGTTAACAGATATCAACATCTACATCAATGCATTGAGAAGAAAACTATATTTTAAGAGTAATAATAACATTAAAGGAGCATAGCGCAAGTTCCAGAACTTTCACATTAGACTGGCAACCATTTAAAAAGACACCTGGGTGTGAGGGAGCAGAGGAGAGGAAAAGTCTAAGGGGCTGGTTATCTCGCCTCGCAGTGAGCGTGTCGCAGATATTTTTGATTTATGCCCAATATTGAAGCGAGGTCTGCGCTGTTATTCCACGCCACAATGCAAGAGGGACAATCAGGAACTAGCTGTTGGTCTAGATACGGCCGAGGCGGTGAGGAAGTGGCGGCAAGTTTGTGTGACAAAGGAGGGACATGAGGGTGAAATAGAGCAGGGATCCAGGTGGAAAAAGGGTCCCAGCGTTTTTTCCACAATGGCGGTCATACAAACTAAACAAACCAGTAAGGTATCAAACAGGAAATATGCATAGTGTAGAGCGGATGTAGATTTGGCCAATCAGAGGCCTCCTGTCTGCGGTCACCAACAATTCTGGAGAGGTGCAGCAGAGTGTCTGCGGAGGGGGCGGGGGCATGTTTGCATTCACTGAGACACACAAGCAGAAAACCTGGTTTCTGAGTATAAATCCGCCTTTATTCTGACTCCAGTCTTGGACTTTTCGTCCAAATGTTTTATTTTCTCACCTGTGTGGAGTCTGTTGTTTGTGTTCTCTTGCTAATGTGTCAATGGCAGAGGAGAGTGAAAGTAGCCAGAAAATACGAGAATATGACCAGTGGATGAAATGATCCACTGATCATGGAACGGTTAGACTACTGCACATATATTCAAACTAACATTAATACATATAAGATCTTTTTTCAGGGTCAGGATTCTTTTTAAATACGGGCCCAGATGGTTTACTGTGATTTCTTTAAATCTTGTGACTGTACCTGTACTGCCCCCTACAGGTCTGGGTCTGGAGGACGAAGGCGGGTCTTCATATTTTCCCCTGTTGGAGTAAACAGATTCTTGCAGAGGTTCTCCAGTAGAAAGGAATCCTCCTGAACCCAGGCCCTGTCTGGTTGGAACAAACACGCTGGGTTAGTGTTGAATCGGGTCACGTTTCCAGACCTGAACCTGTGTTAAAGCCTCCAGATGCTGACCTCTGCAGCAGTCCCTGGATGGATTTGGGCGAGATTCCCAACTCTGCATATCTCTGCAAAATGTAAAAAAATAAACATGAAGTAGTTAATCTCAGTGTAGAGCACATATGTCAAAGTCAAGGCCTGAGTTGAATTGTTTATCCATGGTCCCCTGGATGATATTTAATTACTAATAGAACCGGCCACAGCCGCTGGTGCTGTGACTTTGCAGGCTACCGTTGCATTGTGGGAAATGGACACAGCAGGTGTATCAGCTAAGCAATATATGGCAGTGATTTGGATTTCACGCCGAGGATTTCAAACAAAAGGCGCTAATTTGTAAAACGTTGTTAAAAGTCCATCCGTTTGTTTAGTACCACATTACCCATGATGCATCTGTTCATTTTGTAGTTCTAGTTTCAATAGCTGACCAAGTTGTGTTTTCCATGCTTCTGGGTGGTTCGGTGGCACAAAATAGCATCCACCATTAATCCTACTTTAATCCAGTGTGAATGAAACCTGTGTGGGTTTCTTACGATGTAAGTATACATTTTAAGTTTTTTATTTTTATTCTTATTTTTTTTTTATCTTAATTGTATTTTATAGTTGGATGTGTGTATATATTATATAAAACTGTAACTGGAGCGTGTAACAAAAGTAATTTCCCTCTGGGATTATTAAAGTATTTCTGATTCTGATTCTAAGTCCGATATTGTGTTTTTTCGTCAGTTTTATCCCAGGAGGTTAATTTTTTCCTTTAGTTTCTCTGGTTACTGACAATGCAAGAGTATACTTATAATACCTCAAGTTCTTTGTTACACTTTGCTAGATATATTGCCATTTTATAAATAAATGAGGGCATTGGCGTTCATTTCATTGTTTTGTCATTACATCTTTATTACCTTTTACCAATAATGCATGTGTGCTGTTATGGCGCCATCCAGTGGATTTATTTGGTATTACAAGCCAATTTCATCCTGCATCTATATGCACCTGTTTTGCCTGCATGGCTATAAATATGCATCTTTATCGTTTATTTAGTTTCAGATAACCACACATCCATATACATATCCCTAAGAAAACCAAATATAAACCTCATCATCTCCAATGTACCTGCTTTTATTCCATTAATAAACCCTCTGAGCTGCACCGATGGGGTCCACATCAACTGATGAGATATCTGGAATTAGTGCGATTTAAACGTACTCAATCTTCTACAAACTTGTCGCAAAAATCATTGCTGCAAAAGTTAGGAGTATAAATTTATTCCACCATCTAAAAAGTAATCTGCTGCAAAATGAAGAATGTTGTAAACTCTGCAGGTCAGCGTCTCCCAGCACACAGATTTAAACGTTAACTAAATCAGCTGTGAAAAAGTTATCCAATATGAGAGAAAATGGAAGAGATGGAGGGAAATCACAGACGCTATTTATTAAGTTATTTAAATGTTTTTTTAGATGCTCTAATACCTGTGATGTGATGGGCTCTTCTTCAGAGGTTTTGCAGGCGTTCTCTAAACTTGGCAATGCTTTCAATTTTATACGTTTTTGTGCTTCTTTAAAATTCCCAGCACGTAAAGATCAGTATAAATAGTTTGGAGATGCTCTGATAATGCTCTAATATTTGGACGGTATTTTTAACCCTGCTCACCATGCCGCTGGTCTGCGAAGACGGTGACACCAAGGCAAAGGCGTCATCCAGCAGGGAGTGCATCTGCTGCCGAGCCTCCTCTATAGAAGGCTGTGGGGGCATGTAGGGAGGCGGAGGGGGGGCGGGATCAAAGACCTCGTCTGTGGGGGAGGGACTGCCATGGTCTGGGGGAAGGTCAGGGTCAGACTGAGAGAGAAGACGGATAAAAGAGAAGTTATTGAGCTGGAACGTTTCCTAAGGATCAGCAACATAACTCTAAAATTAATCAAAGTTTGACATGACCCAAGCATGTATGTCAAATAGATCTACACAACCCTCTAACTATTGTATATCTACACCGACCATCCTAAACATTACAGCTATAGGCACAAAGAGGCCTTAGTTTTCTCATCCTGGACAGGAAAACCTCTTAAGGTCAGCTGTAGAACCAGCAGCAATTCAAGCCCCACACAGAAGTTTCAATTGTTAGGTTGTTTAGAGCAAAGCCACAGACCTGATAACCTTTGCCAATAAACGCCATAAATAGATGTCTTATAGTAGTGCTGATGGCCATGTTCGTGTCACTGTTTGCTGCTGTCAATCACATCTAAGACCGCGCCCAGTCCTCAACATCCAGCACGTTCTGCAGGTTTTTAATTATTAGAAGTACAGCTCTGGAGCTACAGACGTTTCATTATGTGTGGCAGGTCCAAAGGTTTTCCAAAGAAAAGGAATGCAGAAGGAGTTAATCATTCATATCATTGAAATATAATTAAAATCCACTGTTTTTCCTCCACTTAAAGACAGGAAGTTGACCTGAAATGCGACATGAGCCCCTTGACTAATGAAGGAGCTATCGTTCTTGTTGGCTGATGTATTCACACTGGGTTGATGATACAGCTAATCGATTTCAGACGCTAACAGATCAGTGGCTCGTTTTTTTTAGCTCCATTCTAAAGGATCAAAGGCATTTTTTCAAAGGATCCAACATTTCCCTCAGAAACACAATGAGCTGGACCAATTTTGATAGTTAACCGTAGTTTGTCCCACCATGTACGCTACATTGTTGAGTCCTGGGTACTTCCTGTAGGTGGCGCTTTGGTCTGTGAGCAGCCGATCTCTGTCTGTATCTGGAAGACTTCCTGGTCCTTGATGAGGCCTACGGCCCCGAGGAGAGCGCCTCCCTCTGAGAAAAAAACAAAAAAACAAATATGGAACTAAATCGGTCTCAAAAAGTTCAGCAAGATTGGTTAATGTACATCTCAATTCACACAAAGCTCAAATGTGTACAGTAACATTTACAATTGCGTTAACAGTTTCTTAAATTCACACCATTCAAGCTACACAACACAATAAAAAACTGTGCATGCGGCAATCGCCAGCTGCGGCTGAATCAAATTTGATGCATATGTGAATCTTTTTGAGAGCAGTTTATCTCCATACCCATCCTCTGTAAATGGACTGTATAAATTGACCAAGAAATACCGATATGTTGGCTGTCCCAAACATTGGCACGCGCCCCCTAGGGGCAGCACACTGTAATTAAAGGGGGTCATGGTGGAAATAAAATTATTAAATGACCCAGTTTTGAGAGTTTTTTTGTTTCTTTTTTATTGAAAGTACTGCTAAATTCTGTTATACAGTTGAATAAAATGCTGAACTTTAAATATTTTCACTTTAAATTTAATGCAATTTAAAGTTGATCCTTGTTTATTTTCTTGCAATATTTACTGGTACTGTTGTTGACTTTTCTTTGTTCAACTGTTAGAGATTGAGGGGCAGCAAAAACAAAATGGGGGCCATGCGAGTAAATTTTGGGTGCCATCAGCAGCTATGCCTTAAGATCACATCAGGTACATGCATTGGCCCTCCATCTGCTATGTATTAATATTGAGTTCTACTTATTACTAAATGTGTGTTGTTATTTTGTGCTTAAATTGAGATTTGTGTAACATTAGTTAATATTGTTATTTTCATCATGCAAATTAAGAGAGAAAAAGCAATATCAGCCTTGATATATCCATCCATCCATTTTCCGTCACGTTTATCCCTGCTGGGGTCAATAGGGGTGCTGGTGCCTATCTCCAGCTGTCTGTGGGCGAGAGGCGGGGTCCACCCTGGACAGGTCACCAGTCCATCGCAGGGCAACACAGAGACAAACAACCATTCAAGAACACACTCACACCTAAGGAGAATTTAGAGAAGCCAATTAACCTAACAGTCATGTTTCACGACTGTGGGGGGAAGCCGGAGTACCCTGAGAGAACCCATGCATGCTCAGGGAGAACATGCAAACTCCATGCAGAAAGAATCCGGGGCCGGGAATCTAGCCACGAACATTGTTGCTGCAAGGCAGCATTGCTACCCACTGTTCCACTGAGCAGCCCCGACTTAATATATATAATTGGATCATCTATTATAACTACTAGGCATTTATTTTAAGGAACTCTTATTTCTACTCCCTCTATTGATAATTTAACCAGTTTGTTAATTCTACAGATTCTGAGTAACACAGGTTTCTTTTGTAAATTTAAAGCTAGAGGTTTCTTTTAATGCACTTTTTTATTGGTTTCATTTAACTAGGGGTAAGTCAACTTATACATCAGTATCATCTGTGAACATCACCATTCTAATTCGGTACAAAACTTCAAAATATCTTAAGTAATACAAAAAACTTGTGCGCTATAACCGAGCCAAACAATATGTGAAGAAAAAAATTCAACTAAAATGATGAGCTAGTGTTGGTCATGTAAATCTCTTTGTTTCCATTTTTCAAAATCTTAAAAGTTTCTTCGGTAACAAACTGTGACTGATTATATTTAAGACTTTTTTGATTCCAAGATTTAATCCTAATGGAATAATTTTTTCTGACATAAATAGAGATATCTGCCATAGATTGGGTGTTCCCCTGGTGTTGTTGGCCAAGCCTGACCTTTTTCTGGAGTCGGCCGGGGTCGGAGGCAAGGCTCCTTCGGCCTGCAGGATACAGTCCATGTGGTCGTGGGCGGAGCTGTAGAGTCGCTGAGCCGCTTCACTCTGAACCGGTCCGTCTCCAAAAGCATCCATTATATCATCCATAGAAGGAAACTCACATTGGCCCCGCCTCTTTGCTCGTTGGCGCAGTTTGTTCCTGTGATGCTCGATTTCAGACTTGTGCCTTAGCGCCACCTGCTGAAAAATGTTTTGCATTACAACTGATCTCATACTGAGGAGTGTGTGGTTTGTGTGACTGATATACCTCTGTATTGACCTTTTCAGTGAGGGAGGGGCTCGGCTGTGAAGGGCCGTGGGCCACAGGCGGACTTGGTCGGGGCTGCATGGCGATGAGTTGCACCTTGTTGGCCTGGCGACGGGTTCCATCAGAAGAGCCACGGGAGAGACGGTCTACATGGTCAAAGATGGAAGATGAGGAGAGAAGTTCATCTGGACCGCTGCCTGATGGGAGCGCTGTAGGCAGAGGAACAAACATGTTCACTTAGAAGATGATAAAAAACTAAAATAGGAGTCAGTGATTCCCAGGATCTCGTTTTAAAATATTAACAACCTCTGTATTTTCACTTGAAGGAAATAAAAGCCTTAGGGAACAATCAGGAGAAAGAGGGGACACATGCTAACCCCTTAAGCCCCGCCGGCCCGGTACAGGGCCCAACTGACACCTGCTGATGTTTATCTATTTATAGAAACGGCCAAAACGCAGTCACATGGTGTTTCATCCACACGCCTTTCAAATGGGGCTTTAAAATGTCTAAAACATGTTTCAAAAGGATTTTTTCACAAGTAATTTTTGTTTTATAGCTGTGTAAAAAGATTAAATGAGATTTAAAATTCCACCTGACATGTGCAACAGCAGGTGTTCATTTTTAGCCACACCCGATAATGGCCAGCATCATTGGAAACTTGAGGATCAGACCTTTCCAAGGAGGGGTCAGAGGTCATTGTGGGACCATTTCAGGTGATGTAACCAGCATGCGTTACATAAGCTTGCTCTGTTATTCTTATTTTCTATTCAGTTTGATGATATTATTGGTAGATTTCAATTAAACATTTGCTACATCTTAGGAGCAAAGGCTTTGCCTTATGCAGGAGTTCTCCAATAATGTAAATCAGCATATTTGTCTGACCAGATTCCCTTTTATGAGTGGAAAAATGCATTTTTGCACTTTTGGTGTTGTGCCAAAATCACATTTCCACCTAGTATACTGCTCACTAAAACGTTTGTGGAACAAACATGCTTCAACTTATTCAGTGCAAATTTGCTTGAGTTACAGACAAGATGTGGCTCTTTAAGGTCTGAGGGGACATCCAGAGTTTCAAATAGGGTTTAATGGAGTTTATCCATTTTTTCTTTGTTTAATGATCTATAAATCACACTTTGTGACATTTAGAATAGTGGTTCCACCTGAAAAATATCCCTCGGTGCCATTTATAGTTTGGTAGCTGTACTTTCTTTAATTCAGGTATGTAATTTCAGGTGGAATTTGTTCCTAAGACCCTCAGGGCTTAAGGGGTTAAAATGGGCTGCGAAGGAGAATAAAACCCAGAATAAATTAAATTAAATTTATTTTTTAACTATCTGTGCAGTTAATTGAAAATATTTCTTCAGATTAAAAGCTTCAGAGGTTCCACATAGTCGGGGGATATTGATGATAGCACATGCTGGGAAGATGACACACGGTGCAACACGATATGTCACATAAAACCCTGAAACATTATAACCTGTATTTAGGGAGGGAGCAGTGAATCTGATTGTCATCCCTGCTTCTAAATATGTATGGAAACCCAAAAATAATATGAATAGAAAATATGTGAACTGTGACTAAATAATAGCGAGAACAGGAAGCACATGCTTTAATTAGGCGATTCTGAACACAGCCTTTGCTGCCTTCTCTTATTTCGTATTTAAATCATTTTCATTTCTCCAACTTCTTTAAGCTTTTAAGAATAACATTAAACTTTAAGGATTTCCATGCAAACCATGAGATCTGTGAGGTTTATAAAAGTTCTTCTGATTACACAGGTTTAATTTCTAAAATAGTGCATTTGTTTTATGATTGTACTACTGCAAGTTCAGTGAAAATTAGAGCCCTTAGAAGCTCTATAGTCAGAAATGTGGCATTAGAAGCACTGGGGAACATAGTCAAAGGTTTGCCAGAGAACAGAACGGGTAACAGCAAATCCTACCTGAACACTATCTAAAAAAATCTAAATTTAGATACGTATTTTTTTTTTAAAATAGGTGCATTTGTTCTTGGATTGGAAAGAGACAATTTGCCAATGGAACAAGACAATTTACATTTAAATTAAGAAAACATAATTCAATTGTCTTAAGTGCATATTATCTAATTAACTTGTTTTAAGAATAAAAAAACTAATTCCATTAGCAAACTACCTTATTTACCCACTCAAATTAAGGGTAAATATACTTCTTTTAAGAAATTTTTACCAATTTCTAGATTGTTTTTCCAGTGAAACTACAGCCTAATAATAAGATTAAATATAGTTGTATTGTTATTCATGTTGGCGGTTATCACACCCAGTTATATGAATAGGAGGTTACTGAAATTAGAGTTGCTTTAGTGTGTTTTTGCTAAAAAAATAAAAATACGCCCTAGTTTTCTCTGAACCCCTGATAAGTGCCTGCTTTCATTCAACTGGTGCTTGTCTAGGTGGGGTCCTGAAAATGATTTGGGTTATGGAAAATTTGGATAAGAAGCAGAATTTTTTGGGGGGAAAAATGCTCTGATTAGGAGAGATAACATTTATTTCTCCTTGAATAGAGTTTCTAGGGATCTGACTGAATTTTCTGGCCCTCCTAATCTCTGACAGCCTACTGTAGGGTACAGACCAGGAAGCAGAGTCGTAGTTTAATACGCCTCTGTGGGGCTTTGCTCACAGCTCAAATCAAATAGATTAGAATATTATCTGAAAAGAGCAAATCAAAAAAGCCTTAAAAAAACCCCAATTATTTGTGGTTTATCAAACATAATTGCTCTCTTTGTAAGGGACTCATTAGTTAATGACTTAATTTGTGATCATCAGAATAACTTCATTTTTCTCACAGAAACCTGGCTACAACAACCAGATTATGTTAGTATAATTTAGTCCTTCTCCTTTTAGTTATTTAGAATTTTTTTTCGACTGCTCAGAAATACAGGAAATTGATAAGTGCTATCTTAAGCCTCTTTCCCACTGAGAATAGCTGTTAACCTGGGTTTTTCTAACATTGATTGACCCGCTAACATTGGAGAGCAACATATGAGGAAGCCAGGGCGTAGTAAGTGTACATTATCGTTTTCGGTGTTTTATCTGTCCAAATCCCTCTTACCGGAGTGTTGATCGAATGTAAGTGTTGTTTTGGTTTGTTAGAGGAGATGCAATTGGCACAGTGTGTTGATGTTAATACGTTTCGCTAAATGTAAATTAGCTTGTCTAGCATTGCCACTATGCCGATCGGAGTCGAAAGTGATTTTAACATCATTTGACCCCAACCGCCATGCATTGGTGAGCTTTTCCCACTGCCACTAAAAGCTGATTGTTCCCGGGCTTAAACTGTTTTTCTGGCCAGTAGGAGAGGGGTATTAGATTTAAGAGACTTGGTTCAAAATGTGCAGAGACCCACACATTCTTATCTTCATACTTTGGACTTTTTGCTGACATTTTTCCTCACAATCCTGTTAAATAAGTATATTTAACAAACTTTATCTTGATCCAGACGTCTTGAAGACAGATGGCTAATCTTCCTTATCTAAATTCTTGAGAAAGAAGTTGCTGATTAGGGGTGTGAGCACTTACACCTAATGAAGGTATTTGCAGGCCTATAGGGCTGAATTCAGGAATAAAAAGCTTTAACAATTTTGATGAGAGGATGAGATATAAAACTTGAATATTAAGCATTTTCTGGTCCCACCAAAGGATTCGTGCAACCATTCTTCCACATTACTGTTTTGAAAACAAGTGAATGGATATCGCTGTTCCAACTTCTGATTTATGAATAGCCCAAGGTAGCTAGCATAGGACTCATCTTTGTGACTGAAACTTCTTTTATTTACTTGTTTAGTTTTAGTAGTTGCTTTTCAACAGTATCAACACAGTAATTTACACCCATCAGTTCTTGTCCCATTAATCAACCTCCTTAACAATAATACCTGTCCCTTGTCTCATCTTTCTTTTGTTTGGAGCTTAAATCTTTTGTTTTTTTTGTCGCAGTTAGCTTGTCGCAGGTATGACACAGATATTTTTGATTTATTCCCAATTTTGAAGCGTGGTCTGCGCTATGTTATTCCACGCAATAAAATCAATCACAAACTAGCTAGGAATGTGGGTGTCCATGTCTCAGTTTGACGAGCATGTTCGCCGTTTACAACCCCTGCAAACCAACAGACCGTCGCACAGAACTATTAGCATCCTGCACGGTGTCTGGGATAGTGTCTGAGGTGTGCCAGGTGAGGTGGACGGCATTACGGCCGGAGTTTCTGCCATTAGGTACCAAACAGGAAATATACATAGCCTAGAGCGGATGTAGAATTGACCAGTCAGAGGCCTCTTTTCTCGCCTCCCTCCTTCCTTTTTGTCTGCGGTCACCTACAATTTTGTTGAGGTGCATCAGAGTGTCTGCGGAAGGTGGGAGGGGGCACATGCAGACGACCTGGTTTCTTAAGCCTGGTGATGCTTTAAGGACACCCCATGTACAGGTTTGAGATGAGGTGAGTAATGGTTAAAACAACAAATACAGATTTAAACGTACCTATTTTGTTCCTCCCTTCATTAATGAGTGCAATAAATAGAAAAACAGCAAAGAAGAGTGGTAAAAAAAAAGCTAATATTCCACAATTGCCATCATCTTAAGATTCAGCTCTTTTTCGCCATCATCTCACTTTACTTTATGACTAAATGCTCACAAGCTGAAATCACCAAGGCTCACCGTTTTTAGGCATTTTTCTGTGGTGTTTCCCATCACTGGGTGTGGCAACAGGTCTGGTGCTTTCCTCAGCTGACTCTCTGCCGCTGGATTGTTCACTTCCCAATGAGTCCCCATCTGAAGGGCTGAGCCTAATGGGACACAACATCTTAGTCCAATAAACAAAACAGGTTCCATCTGCAGGGGCGAGCGTCGCTTTACAGGAGACAACTGGTTGAACAGAAACTTTATCTAAACAGGATTTTACGTAAGCTCTCTGACCTTCCTCTGCGGCGGCTTGAACGTGCTGCTTTAGTGGACGATCCCTTGGATTTAGGAGTGTTGAGGTCTCCGCCATCAGAGGGTGTGGCCTCTTTTATGGGGGCGGGGAGGGGGCCAGTCTCCTGGATCACCATGATGTCGTCCTTACTGTGCTGACCCAGATGGAGCTTTGCAAAGTCAAAGCCTTTGACACTTGGAGCTTGAAGCTGCAGAGAATAACGAGGTCAGACCTGAACTCACTAAAAACTCATTCAGGGGAAACTTAACTACTGCTGGTTGTACCTTCTGCCTCTGCTGGATGGTGTTGATGGCATCCGGTTGAAACTCAAGCTTCTCAGACCCACAAAGCTTCCAGTAGAGAATAATAATAATAAAGACTGCAAGCAGGACAGGAACAACGACACCCACAATCAACCAGATGCTGCTACTCTGAGTCTCAGCCGGAGGGACAGAGGGAGTCTCTACAGCTAGACACAGGAGAGGAATAGGTTATAGATCAGAATGCATCAGATTAAAAACAATTCAAGAAAAAAAAAGATCTAGTCTATGACTCACGTTGAGCCAGCGGCCTCTGGACTCGGTGACCAAGGACAATGGCAGCTCTCTGAAGGTCCAGGCGGTTCATGGTGGCAGCAGTTACCTCCGCTGGGACCCTCTCCCCACCTGGACCCTCCACAAAGTAAAACACTTCTAGGGGGCGCTCCGGTCCAGACAGCCTGGATATTCGCACCACCTGACAAAAATAAAACATTGAGATTTACTTTTTAAAGGAAAACAATAATGGGGAAATAAAACATTTGTGTCTTTCTTTTTATAAATTAACTACAATGTGTATCTGCATATGTAATAAATTTTGACTCCTGTGGGTGCCATTTTTTACCGTATTAACAGGAGAAGAGGTGCAAGTGAAGTTAGACACTGCCGTCAGACAACATGCAGTAATTTATAAATGTTTTAAATCAGGTTGGGTCCGGATTAGCCAGCAGGTGGATCTGGATCCGGACCGCGGTCCGCTAATCCATGACCTCTGCCTTAGACCATAACAAGGGCTTAGGTTTGATTTCAACTTTGGTGGGGACACTATTCTTCAGTTTCATTGGTCCTTTGCAAAAATATGCATGCTCTTTTTTATGCTTAATGTGAGCTTCAGGG